GGCATTATTCTTGGAGGTGACCCATACTTTTCAAAGCGAGGCACTCTCTTCTTCCTTTTGGGTGTCCCGTACAGTACGTAGAAATCAAAAGGACGCCCAGATGGTTCCCCCAACAAGTCTACTTCGCGAACTCCCTCTCGATGTAGTTGCTTCAACAGAGTATTGCGAGATACTCCTCTCTTTCTTCTTTCTGCTTCTAGGTCGATTTCTTTTTCAATGTCTGTCATCCCGTCGTCCTCTTCATCATTGTAGGCCTCTCTAGAAGTATGACCTTCTTCACATACCAGCACGCAAGCTTCTCCTTCGTTGTCCTCCCTCTCTTCTTCTTTTTCTTTATTCTTGAATTCATTGGCCAGTAAGTAATTATTGGCCACGACAGGAGGTAACGTACCAAACTGGGTGATAAGGGGCTGATCTTGATCTTCTCCATCCCTTCTGTCTCGCTCGAACTTTGATCTCCCAGAAGAAGTTTCTGGCAATTCCTTCATTGATTTATCTGTACCGGTCTCTTCACTATTTTTGAAGACATTTTGATTGGCTACCTTGAGTAGTTTAGGCGTTTTAGGACGTGGCACTCCATGTTGCTACCTCATCATCCGTCCATAATTTCGTTGGAAACGCCTTTGTTGGGTTCTAGTCATCTCGTCGAAGGGTATTGCCCTTCCTGCATTATACTGGAATGAATGCCATACATTTGGCTGACGAGGTTGCGACCTGAATGTTCTTCCATTATCTGCTGGCCTGAACTGCCTCTCAAAGGGCGGTCCTCTGTAGAATGATGTACCTCGCCCTCTACCAGGCTGAGTGTTTGGGAAGAAGGTAGGGCGATAGGAATGCTGCCATATCCCTGGTTTCTCCGTATTGCCTTTCATTTCTCTTTTACATTTTGCACACAGGACGTCTTCGTCATTTTTTGGTTCTTTCCCTTTGATTCGTTCAAAGACACTGGGATATGGTCTAGGGTCCTCTTCTCTATCATCTACGACCAATTTGAATTTCGGCAACTTGTTTTTGAATCCAAATGTCATCATGTTCACTCCAAGTGGCTGTGGAAAAGGATTTTCATCCACTGCCATCTTTTTCTTATCATCGAACGTAATTCGTCCTGATTCAATGGCATCCTGCAATACATGGCGAAAAACCAAGCAATTGTTAGTCAAATGTGACCATGCATTATGCCACTTACAATATTTTTTACCCTTAATTTGTTCAGGGTTTGGCAATTTATGCTTGTTGCTCAACTTTATCTGCTTATCCCATATATAATTTATCAAATATAAGGTCAGCTTTGGTTACATCGAACGAGAACGTTCTAGCCTTTATGTTTCCATCTTTTATGGGCTCATCTTTGCCCGATGGTCTAGGTTTAGCCATTATGGGACAAGTATATGTATCTCCTTTGATCAATTCGGCCAAACACATTTCGGCCTGGTCGTATGACTCGTCACTGATGGTATGAACATCAAAATTTAGGTCTTTGTAATAAGTCCCTTCACTAGAATTTTTCATCTATTCTTCCTCTCTTATCAGTCGTTCATACCTAATCACATTCGCACTCAACTGGAAAAGGTCAGAAAATTTCTTGTCCTAGAATTTCTTTTTTAAATCAAAGCTCAATCAGCCCTGAGCGACTTTGACAAATTCTTTTTCGGGCAGAGGTACAAAACACTTACTTCGTGAAATAACTGTTCCAATTGTTGCCATGTTTAAACAGAGTTCACTGGCAAGTTAATGAACCAGGAGAAAGCTACTCCTGTTAACGAACTAGGGAAAAACCTCATTTTATGGTAATCGGTTACATCACCACTTTACAATGTGAATCGTCCTATGTGTTCTAGAGTAGACACCTCTCCTAAACCGGTAAACAGTGAGAATTCTGGCACTTTGTACCCTCTAGGCCATGGATATGCTTGGTCTACCCAATCAGGATATGGCTTTGTGTACGTCGGCCTAATGACGGGACGTACCCCAAAAGTCATCTGATCCTGTACGATTTCCATAATCTGATTTCTCAACATGACGTTGGGATCATATAGAATTCCTACAGGCTGATTAACCGGTTGATTTGCATGAGGCCTGATGTTTGCTCCTTTATTGGCAACAAAATTATCATAATTAGGGCCCTTACCATTAGCCTGAACATCTATTCCCTCACTAACACGTGGGGTGTGCTGTCCATTGTTTAGAACATTATCTCTTATGTTTGGATTACCCCCCAAGTTGGGCGTACCACTACCATTGTTCTGATTTGGCACTGCAGTACCCCCTTGGTTTGAAGTAGAGGGACCAGAAAGTGGTTCTACCCCTTGATTCGGATTTAGGACTGAGGGATTATGTCCCACAATTGTCCTGTTTTGAAAGTGATTTGCAAGAGGTATAACCGGTTGACATATTTGGCCTACTAACTTATTCATTGTTTCGTTCAAAGTATTTAGTTGTTTGGCCATATTGTCATAGTGTGCATTCCCATTTTGGGTAAATCTTTCCATATTATGAATACTTCGAAGATTTACCTGTTCAACAACGCCTGTGTGAGTTCTCCAAGTAATGCATGCATGGTTCGAGGACTCAACTCCGTCATTGGTTCGTAACGACTGTTACTGCTCTGATTCTATCCATCTGTTCGTGGAGAGGCATGCTGCTCCTCATATCGCTCGATCACAGACTGGATTCTTCCCTGACTTGCTGCTTCCTTATCGAATCTCTGAGGTATATTGTTTCACCTTTTGTACTTTCAACACCAAACACCATTGTTCCACCGGGCGTGCCAAATTGTTTCGCACGGGTTAGTCGCTAACAATTAAAAAGGATCAGACGATTGTGTAAGGGACAAACATCTTGAGACAAAGTCCCAAAAAGGGGTGTTCTTTTATTGGCGATGACTTTACAATTGGAAATTAAAAACAATGTGCCTCCAAGGGGCGCAAGCACACGAGTTACTGAAAGAAAAGTGTTTAAGTCTAAGTTAAGGAAATTAAAATTACGTGTTCTCTGTTCGAGAGTTTTTGATTCGGTCCTTTACTCTATGTCTTTTCTCCCTTTTATACTTCATGGACGATCTCTTTGTAATCAACCGCCCTAAAAACTGCTTGATCGTCCTATAACTGCCCACTTTCCTCGTAATGGCCAACTTGTCATAAAAACTGCCTTTTTAACTGCTGCCATTACTCTTCGTCGTTCAACCACTTTCGATTGAATTCCTTGAATCGTGAAACGTGATAGGGCTGCTTTAATAATTGCTTTGATAACTGCACTTCTTGATAACTACGACGCTTTATGTTTGTTTAGACTTTGGACGACTTGAAGGTTTGGGCAAGAATAGAGTAACAGCTCTTGAAGGTTTGGGCGAGAATAGAGTAACAGCTCTGGGCAACTGTATGGCACTCCATTCGCTCAGATTCTGGGTGACTTGCAAGCTTGGGCGATGGCGTTACCGCGTTTTTGGGCCTCTCTATTTGGGCCTTCATCTTGATTTGTTTGATTGTGTTTCGTTCTTTGGGCTATCTGATTTGGAGATCCTCTAATTGGGTTTCACTCCTTGGGCCGTTCATTTGGGCTGAATTTTTATGTGTCAATAGGCCCAACATGACACCATCAACTACCAAGTCAACTCTCGTAAGGGTGAACACAGTTCGATTCGAACAATTTGAGACAATATTTGAAATCAAATCATTTAAAGAGGTTTGAAATTTTTCCAAACCATTTTTTTCGGTTTGGTCTGATTTAAAACCACGGTTTAACAAAAAAATAATAATAATAAATTAATATATATTAAATATGTTAAATCATAAATATTAGTCTAAAATTTTATGTTAAAACATAAATTGTATTATTAAAAAAATTCCAAATCAAAGTTATATAATTATAATCATTATGATGCAACAACACGACATAAATTTTTTAAACTCTTAGTCGATACTTATGGCGTCCTCTGCAATTGTAATACGCGATTCATTTTCTTCATAAGTATAAAAATATAGTGCATGAATTCATTGATTATAGTTGAATGATATAAAATATTAATAATAAAAAATGAATAAAAAATTTCAAATACAATAGTACCTAGCTACTATGACTTTTTGTGAATCATTCAAAACTTCTACTTCATCTAAACATTGGCGAATTATTTTAAGGAAGATCGACAATTATTAGAACAAAACAACATAACTGCCAATAAAAATGTAAAAACAATTACCAAAAATAAAAAATAAAATTGTAATCTAGCTTGAATTTAAGTAAAATTTGAGAAAAATATTAGAAGAAAATGAAATGTGTACATTTGAATTAAAATCTAGATTTTATTGTCTGTTCAATTGTAATGGAGAATCAATGAATATAGTTTAACATCAGTTATTCAACACTTAACCCAATTTTAGGGTTTTTAATTCATAGTTGTGATGACTCATTAATATTTGAATATGATTAATTAATTAATTGAGATGTATAATTGTCGAATTGAGATTAATTAAATTATAAATTTTTTTAACTGAAATGTGTTAAGTTTTAACTGGATTACATAGAATTTAGATTAATTTATTTTCAATTCAGTTATTATTATTATTATTATTTTTTTTTGTAAATGGTTTGACGATTTGAAACGATTGACAAAAATTGAAACTTAAACCAAACAACTTTGAAGCTGTTTGGTTCGATTCAAAATCAAAACATTGACAGATCCACGTACAACCAAGCTAACAGTTTTAAGAAAACAGTTTCAGTTAAAATTTGCGATTTGACGGTTTTGTTGTTTAGCCCTAAACCCTCAACTCGACGACTCCCCTTTTTGGGAACGAAAATGGATGAAATAGTGTTGTTTTGAAAAATGAGTGGTTGAAAAAGAAGGAAAAATTTTCAATTTAAGGAAAAATTTTCAATTTACATGTAATATTATTTTATGGAAGATTGTGTGGTTGAAAATAGAAGAGAGAAAAACGAAATGTAATTTAATGAGTACCAAACGGGGGCTCGAGGTGATTGGCTTAATAAAGGTTCGCAATACATGACAACAATTGACAATTTTTAAACAGCAAGAAGGATTATCATCTAATGTGCAGAAAGCTAATTATTATATAATGTGCAGAAAGCTCCTCATGTCAACATGACAACAATTGACAACTGTTAAACAGCAAGAAGGATTATCATCTAATGTGCAGAAAGCTCCTCATGTCAATGAATCTGCAGCTGTGAATGTGTGCATGTCATATATTATACAGTGAGGGACGCCCCATTGTCCGCCGATGTAAGATTAAGAATCATTGTAGCTGCATTTGGAGCCCTGTTGAAAATGAGGTGAAAAACTTAACTTAGACCCTATTTGTCTCTCTTTAAAATAAAATTCTTTAATTCTTGTATTCATTTTCAACCATACATTCACATTATAAAAATTCTGAATGCCTTCTCTAGTTTTTAACCACGCATTCTTCAAAAAATCAATACTTAAAATATCAATTTTTCAGAATAATGGCCATCAAACAGGGGCTTAGAAAGCAGAACATGTACACTTCAGCAGTAAGTGAAATTCTCAACCTGAAATCCCTGATTTTGATAAAACAGAAATTTAGAAAAAGAAAAAAAAAATTCTCAAACCGCCATGGGGTCAACACCATCATTTCAGAAAGATCATAGTAAATTTATTTGCTTGAAAGTATAATTGAAGAATCCCTTGTTTAATGATTTAAAAGAAAAGAGAGACTTTGACAGTATACTAATTTTCTTAATTTAGTTCTCTAACATACCTTCATTGCTCGAGAAGGCAAACACAATATTATCACTTGTATATCCCTTATATTTAGTAATTTTATTGTAAAAGAAAAATATCTCCTAACTAAAAGGTGTGTATGCTGCAGAATTTTCAAAATAACTAATCAACGATCAGTTTCATGTCAAATTTATGCCTAAAAATTAATGAACCTTGCAATTTCAGATCCTTAGATTTGTATATTAGGATAGGACTGGTGTTTCTAAGTTAACAACCAATTCTGAAACTACGGAAGAAGTTTTAATTCACTAAATCGTACTGATGCACGACTCCAAATTCATGAGAGAGAGAGAGAGAATTTATACCATGAATCTGGAGTTTGATACAGAGCAGCTGAACTGCCAAAACATGATTGAAGCATTTCAGTGTTTATTACCCCAGGATTAAGCGCAACAATTGCCATTCCAGGGGGTAACTCCTTTGCTGCTGCCCTTGTCAAACCCTCCACTGCCCATTTTGAAGCACAATATGGTGCTACCTGTAAGATTTTATAAAGTTTCATCAAGTAATTAACATGGCCAGGAGGCGAGGAACCAAAAGCTCAGGTCTTCAATAATTAAGATTTTGAACTATAAATCTGGATCATCACTCATATCAAAAGCAAGTTGAGGTGAGAATAGTAGAACATAAACTCCACCACATCGATAGAACATACAGCTTAAGTTAAATCATCAAAAAGCATCAAGCCTGTGAATATCGACATATTGGAAATGCAATGAAAATTATTCTAAATCCTAGTATAGTGTTAGTTAGGGCTTAGGGGTAGGCGAAAATATAACTCGAAAGCAGATGAACTGGACTGGATGGTGTTGTTAGTTCCTCAGAAGTAAGAGACACAGATTATATTTTGACTGTCTTGGACTGGGAACTGGACAGTTTGGTTCAGTATTTGGAGTCAACAGTGAATAATATAACAATTAACTTAACAGGTTTTCTCGATTTCTTTTTCCTTTTTTTTTTTTTTGATATGTCAAATTTTTTATTGGTAGGTAGGTTTAATTATGATGGACCCATCCACACCTAATCTCGCCCATCTTTTAAGCCCCAAACTGCTCAACTCTCCAGTTCAGTCTGGTTCAATTTTCTTCTGTTATAGACATCAGACTCATTTTGTGTGAAAAGAAACCAAATTTGACCAGTTCTTATATAACTAGACCGTGTCCACCCTAGTATTAGTTATCAACTAATATTGTTAACGATAACAAGACCCCCAGCTAAAAGAACACTTGTATCTAATATATCAAGCAGTATAAAATTATCTGCAATGACATATTGTTTCATAAGATTAGAATAAACTGCACAAGATATAAATTTGGAGAAAGATAAACATAATATTCCAAATTACCTGGGCAGCAGCAGATCTTCCCCATCCAGATGACACGTTCACAATTATCCCTTGCTTCTTCTCGATCATAAGGGGAATGAAGTGACGCAACATATTTGCTATACCCTTGATATTAGTATCAATGACAGCATCAAATTCATCTATTGGAACTTCCCATATCCTATTATTCCTATTTATTGTGCCAGCATTGTTCACTGGAAAAGATTCATGTGTTAGATCTAGCATCAATTAGTAAAATGACAAGCCAAGTGATGTCTAAAATGCAATTTAGATAAACATGAATCTCCTGTAGCACTTGCAAAGGAAAAGGGAGAAGGAAACCGTTTTACCCTTAATATAGGGTGGTTGATGCCTTAAGACATCAGGGCATATGTCTTCTCCATATTAGCTTCTCATATGATATAAATAAAGAAATGTGCAAGTGAAAAAACATCATCAACAAAATGTCTAATTCAGCTGTGTGTTATCACAAAACACAAGAAGTGGTACCCTTAAAACTATAATGGTTTTCAAAGAAGGGTGGCAAGCAGCACAAGATTGTTGAAATCTCAGTTTATAACCTGCAGGTCCAACACTCCTATGCTATACAGGGCTAGGTTTCAACACCATTCACAGGTAAGGCCCCACATGTAGCATTCCCGATGGCGGCTATCCCGAGCTAGCCATGCTGCTACAGTTGTCTTATGCGCTTGGAGAAGATGGACCGGCAAGAGGAGTTAAATGGTGAATCGGGAAGCTAAGCCTTACACACAGAAGGCATTCGGCCCATACCCAGTCAGACCAAGCTAGTCGCCTTACTTAGTCTACCTTCACTTGATCGGCCTTTCTTTCCTTTGTTTGGCTTGAGCTTGATTTCACTCTCGTAGCAAAGAAAGAAGCAATGCTTATCATATGTCATTCTAAAGATAAGGAAGGGAATAAAGGTGGGGCAAGTTAAGTTAGGGCATCAGTGGGAAAATTAAGGCTATGTTTGAGCCACATTTAAAAAAAAAAAAAAAACATTCTTAAACAGTGATTTGACATCTCTTTAACCACACATTCTTCAATAAAATAATATTACACGCAAATCCAAAACTTTTCTTTATTTTTTAACCACACATTTTGCATCAATACACTATTCAAAAATGCATTCTTAGGAATATAATGTGGCTCAAACAAGGGCTAAAAATAAAATCTAAAATCTTCAGTAAGTAGTAATCCACTCTTAAATCATTGTTTTGTTTTCCTCCACTAACTGAAACTAGACATTTTTCTCTTTCATTGCATTGTTGCATGAAGAATACAACTTCAGGGGTAAATGTTTGAAAAGCCTGTTGAACACTAAACTGAGTTGAGAAGGAAGACGAGCAATATTCACATAAGACTATTGGCATAGTAACTTTACAGAGACTTCTCATCAATCAGTTATATCAACTGATGTGAATAGAACCCATGGTTCTATTTTCTTTGATAATGCCTAATGTACCTTCGAAAATTACTTACATTGTACCTGGGGATTTAACTCTTTTTCACTTGAATTCTATACTTCTGCACTGGGACTTTATTCTATTCTAGGCTAGAGCCAAAAGTATAATAAGGGCAGTGAAGCCGGGACCATACCCAGTCAGACAAAGCTAGTCATCTTACTTAGTCTATCTACCGTCCCTATATATGTCTTTCTTTCCTTTGTTTGGCTTGAGCTTGAGTGGTTGATCCCTACTAACAGTATGATGTTAATCCACAGCAAAAACCTCCCCAAATGATATTGTTCCCAGATATTTCCATCTCTATATTGTGCAACCAATACCATCATTGTAAAGTAGCACGAGATAACCTTATAGCATCCAAATTCTTTTAGTAAAATCTGACAAACTAAACTTATCCGCTAACAAACTATATAACCTTAACAACCACTACATTGAATTATCCATAGCTCGCGGCATTGTGCCACTAAAATATCTCCCCTAAAACATGTCTATGAACATTCTGCAATCTCAATAACAACCAATTATATATAAAATTCTGAATCAAATGTACCTATAATATCAGGAAAGGCCTTCTTTTCCACCACTGAGCGTGCCAACTCTTCGACGCTGCTATTAGACCTCTACAAAGTTAAACCCCCGCGTCAAAGACAGTTATATCAGCACCGAAATCAATTAAACGCATACAGAAACGAAATTCTATAAATGCAAAACTAATTACCACATCTACATTCATGACAAGGTGTTCATTCGTACTCTTGCTGGCATCGGAAGACGCGGAGGAGGCTGACGCAGAGGATAGCTCCGACTGGAGTGCGGATAGCTTATCCTGAGAGCGGGAGCAGCCGATTACAGTGTGGCCGCGCTTGGCCAGTTCTAGTGCTAGGGCTTTGCCGAGACCTCTGCTCACCCCCGTTATTAGCACCGTTTTCTGAGCGCCCACTGCAGCAGCTCCTACGAAGTTCATGGCTTTTGCTGCTGGGGGCAATGGCGGTGTAGTCATGTCGCTGCACTTCTATCTTTAAATTGCGACTGTAGCTGCTTTGAGGAATAGAAGGGGCCGCGGTTTAAAAAAATACTTATTTTTTTCTTTGAAAAAATAAAAAAACTATTTTTGAAAGATTGCGATACCAAATCTCTCAATTAATCTGGAATGTTTTCAAAGATAGGTTGAATTGACAGTTTTCCTGGATAGCAGTAGTGCCTAGGATATCAATTTTACCAAACATTGATATTTTGATACAATTCGATTTGTCAATTTGATATATGGGAAATTTCGAACGACGTTGCTTCACTTTATACTGTTAGATCGTTGTTGATGTTATAATGTTCATGAGTGATTCTGTGAAATCGAATGTCTAGCTTTTCTGATGACAATGATGGATTCTAGTGACTATCTATAAAGAAGGTGCAAGAAGAGAGAAAATTTAAGGTGAGAAAATTTTTTGATGGTTGATGATTATTAAACGAGTGAAATGAAAAATTATCTCGTATTTATAAAGGTCCGATGAATATTATTGATATGATGGTAGAGAATGGTGGGTCACATGATTTTGCATTGTTTGTTTTGTATATTGTTCTTGTAATCGATTGCATGATGATGATATATCATCAATCAATCATCAAATATTCGTGAGATTTCACCTTTTGGTACATGAAAAGTCAACAGATCATAAATACTCATCGACCATCACCATGGGAACCCAACAATCAACTATGCTACCATCACTAGACCTCATACTCATAAGACAACTGTCATCCATTTGAAAGTAATATATTTTGGTCCATCTCTTTGTTCGATTCTATGTCTTATTGCTTTCTTCACTATTGACTACTTGTTCACAATGTGTTAGATTTCTAATGGGTGCAACATATATCACCCCTAGCACCTTCGATGTCATGATACATTAATTCTTGTACGACTTCGACTCTACACGCGAATCACATTTATCATTGGCTTTATTTAATGCCTCGCCATGTGGTGTGCATATTCGACAATGCTAGCACTTTTTTGAGCAGGAAAGACCTTAACCCTACCGTCGATGCATTTTCATAAAAAAAAAAAAAAAAGGTTAGAAGAGGAAAACTTGTTTCCTTCTCCCAATACCTATAACATAGTGTACACTCCAATTTTGCCCATAACTCTATTTTTTATTTATTATTTATTGACAAAAATCTCCACCGAACCTTATAAGCACATTCCGGGAAACTTTTTTTTTTTTTTTCAAATCCCAATATCTCCAACATCCTCATCCTTCTTATGATTGAACTTTCACTCAACTCGTTGGGATCCATCTCATCTTCAAGCATAGCGACGCCAAATTCCCTAGACATCACCAACAATCCCATCTAGTCGGATGCTCAATCCACTTTTTTAGAGTGGTACGTTTTATTGTATTTTTCTTTCTTCATCTTTACTTATTTTAACGTATCTCGATTGTGTATTTATCATAATTAGACATAAATTAGTTGAATATGATGCAAGCGATTAAGCATGAACAGCTGTCAACTAGCTCCTCTAATTATTACTTGAAAAAGGTCTCCCTCAGGCATATTTCAATGGTGCAAAGGATATGGGTGATGTAGTTTCAGTCTTACTCACAATCGCAGTGTAAGGATTCGATTCCTGAAATATGAAATTTAACTCTTTATGAGCATCAGTGTACGAATAAACTCTTATTTCCTGATTTTTTAGGGACACATCTCGTTATCTACCTTCTTCACGATGTTCCAAGAACGAGGTGATGGGCGCCCTCAATATTAGTGTTCAACCTTTTTTTTTTAATTTTATTTTACATGAAAAACGAATTATTTACTTCTTATGATATGTCTTTGTCTATTTCACCTTGCATCGGAAATATGAACAATTGGCAACTAGCCCATCTAATTTGACGACATTATTGCAATTAGCCCCGAGGCATCTCCTGTCAACGACTCAATAAACGGAGAGAGTCACGGTTCACGAACGGAAAAATTGAAGTCCCCAGGCAATAGAACCCTAGAACAAGAACGTAACGTCGATGACTGAACAGTCGATCGCAATCCCTGAAGAAGCAGAAAATGATAATCATACCAAAAACGGAAATGATAATGATGATATTAACAACAATAATGAGGAATCGGGACGTCTAATGGCGAAGCGGAAGGAGAGGCGAAAAGCGGCGAAGAAGGAGAAGAGGAAACAGAAGCGGAGGGAGCTGGCCGAGCTGGAGCGGAGAGATGAGGAGGCCCAACTCAATGATCCTGTTGTGCAACTGCAGCTTCAGGTTGAGGAGGAGAGAGAGAAGGAAAGAGCTGAAAGAGAGAGAAAAGAGTTCGAGGAGAGAGAGATGATGTTGCTGGAAGCATGGGAGAGAAAAAGAGCTCAAGAAGCCGAAGAAGAGGAGAGGAGAAAAGCTCTTGAAGAAGAAGAAAAATTGAAAAAAAGCCAGGTATGTACTCTGGACCATCTTTCTATATCTATCTTTATTCTATGTCAATCTAATTACTGAATGCAAACTGGAGAAGCTTAGTTAACAGAAGTGGGATTAAACTGCACGTCAGTTGGACGAAACACTTGATGATTTGAATTGGCGGGTGTATCAGAGTGTTTCTTCCTAAAAGGGAGTACATATATAGTATGAGACAATGGAATTGAGGTTTATTGCTGTACAGACTGACAATGTTAGCATAGATGAAAATTGAGAAGAATTAGATGTTTGGTGGTATAAAGAAAGGTTGATCATTTACCAGGTTTCACGTGCATAAACTAGGATAGTGCACTAGATGTGATTTGTCTAAATCCTGACTGGGTGCTTTAGCAATTTACTACTTCTGATATTTGTCTTCTACCTATTTAGTCTAAAGCTTTTACCATTGATGTGAACAAGGAAATTCCTTTGCATATAGTGAAGACATCTCCCTGTTTGCATATGTTCATACACGTGTGTATGTAATAATTTTACTTAGCTTTCAGTGTATTCTGAATTACTTAAGCAGGTTGGATATGAGGATGAAGTCGACGAAGATGGTTGGGAATATGTGGAAGAAGGGCCCCCTGAAATTATCTGGCAAGGAAATGAGATAATTGTCAAGAAGAAGAAAGTCAGGGTGAAAAAGAACAACACAGACCTGCAGATTGTGAAAGAGGTTTTTGATACATTTTTACACTCCATTCTCCAAAATTTTGATGTTTTCTCCCCCATCAAATGGACAAACATTTAAAAATGTCTTTAAAGTTGCAGGATCCTAACAGACCTACATCAAACCCCCTCCCTCCGCAATCAGAAGCCTTTGCTGATTACAAGAATGAACCTATTCTTTCAGCTAAACAGATATTAGAAAATGTTGCCCAACAGACTCCTAACTTCGGAACAGAGCAGGTAGACTTTCCTTGATTTTTTTTTCCTCACCCTATGTCTAAATTTGTGGTAATCACATGGTACATGTGCCTGTAAGTTCTGAATCCGTGCCTTGAGAAGTTCTGTTGTTTCTTCTGCATCATGCCAACCCCTTTTTTCTCTTCCCCGGGGACAGTTGTATCTCATCTATTTATCATCTCCTTGGCAGGACAAAGCTCATTGTCCTTTCCACCTCAAAACAGGAGCTTGTCGCTTTGGATCATCCTGCAGCAGAATTCACTTTTACCCTGATAAGTCTTGTACATTGCTTATCAAGAACATGTACAACGGCCCTGGCCTATCCTGGGAGCAGGATGAGGGGCTCGAGGTCTGTTAATGAAGTCTTCATGTGACTTTAGTATCCTGATCTGTACCATTTGCGCACAATTACATAATTTATGATCTCATTTCTGTTCTGTTTCGCCTTGTCTTCTTGTCTTTTTGCCTGAAAGAAAAGATGTTTATGCCTGCAATATTGTTTCTAGACTGTGTCAATACATGAAGATGATTGATTTTCATCCATTGGTTCTCTAAATTTTCTCTTATGATTATTGTTTTAGTTCACTTCCTCATCCTTTTGTGCACTTGAGTGCAAACTTTATATCATTGCTCTCCGATAAATTTTATCTAATCTATTCTTCTAGAATTTTATTTATTTGTTGTTATGTGAATTTTGTAAAACAATTTTTTTCTGCTCCTTGCTTGATTAAATCTGAACAATTTTCTGAATTAAAGACGGTGCGCAGTTTGTTCCCTGCAGAGTTCCCCTCAAAAGATGTAGTACTTTGTATCCTACTTCTCCAACATGAGCATCAATTATTGCATGTTAAAACGTTATGATTATTTGATTATTAAGTTTATAATTTTTTTAGTTTCCAAGTAACTATTTTTTTTCCTCTTTTTCTGTATCATGCATATCCTTCCTCTATTTTGGGATTTATTCTAGGTTTATCATGGTTATTTAAACATATCTTCTCAGTTTGGACTATACTTAAGTTTTCTCCTGATGATGCTAGTCAGGCATGTTGATATTTTTGAACACTTTTTGGTACTTCATTAATTATATGCCTTTTTATTTATTTATTAATTTATTATTATTTATTTTTTAAACCCTAAATGGATTCTAGTTCCTTGACCATTGCTAGTATAATTGGGAGCTTCTATATCAAGGATGTCAGAGATCTCCGGTGATAGATGTTACTTCTTAAGGTTTGAGCTTGTGCAAACTACAGGATCTTGTCTTATATGAATGCTTTAGAGAAGAATTTGATCTTGACTGTAAGTGCAAGTGTATAATCAGTTGCTATGTTCTATCAATTAATAAGAGGCAAAAGACATCGCTGAAGTAATTTTATTCTGTCTATAATGGAAGAATTCAGACTGTCTTGACTAAAATCTTGTTCTAGACCTGCTGTTCTAAATGAAACTCGATTACATGTCCAAAGTAAAATGCCTTCACACAGTAAGACTTTTTAAATGTTAAAGCTTAAAGGATGTCATAATGCTTAGACTTGCAATGGTTTATCTGTTATTTGGCTGTAGACTGGGGTCCTTTTTATGTTATGGATTAATTTTTTAATTCGTGTATCTTGGCTGCTTACAATCTCACTTTTTATCTGTTATTTGGATGTACTTCTCTTGTAGCAAGTGTTGTTTAACTGAACGTGGTCACGTTGCTAAGTTTTCATGGTGAGTAGAGCCTGGAGCTCTAAAAATTGAATTATTCACAATGGTTGAGAGACTTTGTCTCTATTAATTCATGGGCTCTGCTGGTATATATAAATTGTTCACCTGCTGACATTTCATGACTTTTTTCAAAATATACTGGAAACAGGAGTTTAGTTCAGTTGTTTTATTCAAAAGTTTCTTTTTCTTCGTTACCTCTTGAAGTACCTCACTCCTTTGATGTTAGTTAGACATGAAGGGACTGTATATAGATTTGATTCTCTCTGTTTTATCTTCTCTAGGTAACAAATGTCTACTAATTCCAGGAATAATATGGTATAAATGAAATTTTTGCCACTCTAAGACAATTACACATAGAACTAAGTTTTTGCATTGTAGTAGTTTGTAGGTAAATGTAGGGTATGTATGGTTAAAAAGGGAAGCGGAAGTCACATATAGCCCTGTAATAATATTTTATTTTACTTAATAAAAGAATCTGTTTGAAGAATGTATGGTATGCGAACATGCCTCCACGCATTTGAAAATTTTAAATGCAATATGCTGTACGACTGCTATGTGTATTCTGACTCGTGAAGAATGGGCAATGAGTGTGGAACATACAATACGGTCTTTACTTGTGTGAGTGTTGAGAAATTTTATTGTGTGAGGACTGAGGAGAATTTTCGACACAATAAACATTTTTATATGATTTATTTTTCTTTGGATTTGGCTCATTTAGCACATCTTGTCCTGCATGACTTTCATTTGCAAGCGTCCTTCAATGTTTTTGAGTTCTATGCGTATTTTTGTACAATCAACCTTTTTTCCTTCTTTTCCTGCTTGCCAGTATACTGATGAGGAGATTGAACGTGCTTATGAAGAGTTTTACGAGGATGTACACACTGAATTTTTGAAATTTGGGGAGCTTGTAAATTTCAAGGTAGCCATTTTTCCTTAAAAATAAATTTCTTCTGTATCGTCCTTTTTTTTAAATATCTCGCTCTCCCTTATTGTTTTGGATATGGGCTGCAATGCTCCTGGAGAGGGTGTCAGACTTCAACGATGTCAATTTCCAGGTTATAGCTATAAATTAGGTTGCTTTCCTGTGTCTGTTGTTAAACTCATCAGTGCTCATCTTTTCCTGTGAGAAAACATGAAAACAATCCACTTTGCAATAAAGCTGGGTTGATGCAAAATCTTTAGGCATCAAGCTTGATTCTTCATAACAAAACAGGGTGAGTGATGACAGATGGTCGTAAACTAGAACTTGAATTATAGAAGAAGGGGAAAGGGGAGAGGAGAAGCGAAGGGAAGGGAAGGGGAAATTTTTTTTATAGAGACAGACGAGAGAGAATAGAGAGAAGCAGAAATTGGAGAGATTTTATTTTTATACAATAATCAAGTCTGTCAAATGCAATACGTGGCCATCTTTATATAGGTTTTAACTAACTTAATTGAAGTAACACAAGATACTAGAACATCTATAAAATAAACCCTACTTTCCTGAAAGAATCCAAACTTGGAAAGTCTACGTATAGTATATCTAACAGGATCCCCATCAGTCGACCAGCGTTAGTCCTTTTATTTCCCTTCACTTATGTGGTCCATTATATTGACAGACTTGAAACATGAAATTTTCTATCCTGAGCTACTAGTCTGGTGCCATGACTTTGAATTTCAGTTCGAATAGCAATTTTTCTTTTTTTTTTTTTTTTGATAGGTAATCAAATGTTTTATTAATCACGAATAATACATAGGCAGTGTATTATCGATTAATACAGGAAAGCAACTTAAAATTAGGCAACCCGTCTATGCGAGTAAAAGCCATAGCATTAAACCAAGAATACAATAGCAATTTTACTGAAGTAAATAATAAGCTTTTGGATCATCCTTTGCAATGCTGATGCATGACAATTAAGTGGCCATGGCTCAGGTGTGCAGAAATGGTTCATCTCATTTGCGGGGAAACGTATATGTGCACTATAAGTCCTTGGATTCTGCTGTGCAGGCTTATCATTCAATAAATGGTCGTTATTTTGCTGGAAAACGGGTATTGCTTTCCTTTTTCTGTGCAAAAATGAAATTTTTTATTCTCTCATTGTTGTTTTTATTGTATAAATTTCCTGTTTAATAGATTCCTGGTGATGTGTGAATCATTTTTTTTTTCTTTTTTAATATCTGCTAAAGTTTTTGAGGTGTTATAATATAATTGTGTGTGCTTGAGTATTATTATTATTTTTTTTATTATTTTTTTTGTTATAATGATTGTACTTTATGCTGGTTGGCATGGGTGATTGAATTAATAAACCATGCAGTTTGCATGTTGCTTCTTCTAATTTTTGATATTGATTTCCTGGTTGTCTTGATAGGTGCAATGTGAGTATGTTGGGCTAACTAGATGGAAGATTGCTATATGCGGGGAGTTCATGAAATTAAAGCTTAAGGTATAGTTACAATTTTAAGCGAAAATCATCTTATTTTGAAGTTACGAATTTTTGGTATACAAGAGTCCCTTCCCTTGGAGGCGGAGCTGCAAAGAGTGCAGATTTCTTTAAATTGTTATTGCTCACAAGTATCCTCATATTATATATATGTATTTATTGGCAGTCATGTTCACGTGGAACCGCGTGCAATTTTATCCACTGCTTTCGTAATCCTGGTGGAGATTATGAATGGGCTGATTGGGATAAACCGCCCCCAAAATTTTGGGTGAAGAAGATGGTTGCTTTATTTGGTTATTCAGATGAATCTGGTTACAATAAACAGACTGAGAATGAAAGCCCAAGACTGCACTGTAATTCTGGCAGAATGTCGACATATGACGAAGACAGGTAGGCATGCAATGTTGGCGATAAATAGTACTGCAAACCCACCACGTTCAGTTATTACTGCAGCTGTCAATTGAGCCCATTTATTCTGAAAAACACTTGACCCTCTCATGTTGGATTCGAGACTTGATTTTGCCAAAGTTTAGTTGATTATAGGAAAACCTAATTAAATGTGAATAGAGTGTAATTTTACCATGCTCAACCTGAACTGCGCCCAGCCTACTAACATTGAAATAATTTTAAATTGAAGTTCTCTGGTGGAGTAAATAAATTGCAACTATGTCCCTTTTTCGTTATGGTAATTTGCACCCAGAAAAGAGCACCAGTTTATATTTGATATGAGTTGAATAATGTGGTCATTGGCCTTCAATTGTAAGTAAGAAATATGAGTAAACTTTCAAAAATATTCTTTGGCCTTCAATTGTAAGAAATATGAGTAAACTTTTGAAAATATTCTTCATTATTTTTGAAGTATAGTATCGTACACAACACAAGTCAATCTAGTGTTAAGTGTCTTTGTAGTGTTTGTTTTTCATATGTTAAATCAGTAACTTTCTGCATGGTTTAGTTTTGATTGCTACATCAGGTGTTTGTCTTCTTCATGATGGGCGTAAATTATTTATTGTTTTCTAGAATTATGAGCCGTGTTAACCTTGTCACGAGATATTAATGAAGAATAAGTTGTTACCTGTTATCTGGTCTCACTTGAATTTTCGGATATTTTTTTATTATTTTTGGGAAATTTTGGCAGATACCACTATCAAAGATCTCAATCAAGAGAAATTGATTATTCAAGAAGAATCTCAAGAAAGTACTCAGATGAGTACGACATCGGAAGAAGTGCGCCTCGATTCCGGCATGGAAGTGCTGATAAAAAGAGGCCAGAAATTCTTGAAGAAAAACACTGTAAAGGCACATCAAGTTCTAGAAAGACGCCATGTGGCAAGTTCCCATTTAGCGATTATGATTCTGATAGAGATAGGTTGGGCAGAGACAGCGGTAGAAGTGGGCTCTTTGACAGCTCGAGCAAAAACTCTCGACACCACCGTAATGGAAAATTGGAATATCAAGGTGATCAAAGTGACAAGCAAAGCACAGAAGAGACTGATTTCAATGTAAATTTGTCAGACTGGGACAGAGACAAAGGTAGTCACCTTGCACATGAAAGGAAGAGCAGAAGACATGGAAAGAGGAGATCTGGAATCCTGGATAAAGATTGTAGTAGGGATTGGCTGGATGATAATAGAGACACAACTATGTGCAGAAGTGACACAATGAGAAGTACAAGACGTCACGATGTGCTAGACGATCGTTGGGATGATAGAAGCAGAAACTATGACAATGAGTTGAACGGTGATTGTTGTGATGATCATGGGGCATCAGCAATGACTGCGATTGAATCTGAAGATGCAGAATCTGATGCACAAAAGGCTCATAAAAAGCACTCAAACTGTGGGGATAAGAGAAAATCCGACAGTTATGATCGAAATTATAAATATTCTGATTCTAATTCTGATTCAAGCTCTGGACCATTGAGATCTGAGAAACGATTTCCTAAGAAATCAATAGGCAAGCAAGATACTGACAAGAATTCTGATTCTGAAAGTCCAGTTCAGTATCCTGAGGAAAAAGAATCGCATACTTACTATGGAGAAGATGTTGACAAAAGAGGCCGCTGGGAACCCGATGAGGGCATCTTTTAAGCACGATACATCTAGAAGAAAGTCACATGGCGAGGATCTCCTTGAGCCTCTCCCCGGCTTTACAATATGGTGAATGCCTTGAATCTCCACCTCACAACGTTTTCGTGGATGTTCACGGTTTTGATCAGATGATAGAGAACAGAGTTTTGCATGGAAGAATATTTGATGCTAGGAGAATTGTCCTGTCTCAGTTTGACTATTTGTTTGGTTTCTTCATCCGTGTTTGATTATTTGTTTGGTTTCTTCATCCTTGTATTGAACTTTTTTTTTTTTTTCGGATAATTAGTAATGTGTGGAAATTCGGCTGAAGTTGCTTAAATGGCGTTTACAAGTGAAAATCACTAACCATCACTAGAGGGATTATTAAATATGTGGCATCAAATGCATGAGATCTTAAATTTTTTATTTTTAAAACGGACAACATAAACCATTCTGGGAGTCATGTTTACACGCTCCTCGATTGACAACTTCCAGAATTGGTTCATAAACATTACACTGGGATGGATTATTTGCTAGCTGGCTTGAAACATTGAAAAATGCAGCCAAGAATATTAAACACACATCCGAACACTCCACCAGCCCTCTCCTTTCTGGATTCATGGACAGCAGGAATACCGTACACTGGATTTGGGATCGTATACTGTTGATAAGAAGTGGGATATTCACAGCAGATCTCAGAATCATTATCTTCTTGTTGGGGAACAAATTGAGCTTCACTTGAATTGTACGAGCCTGAAAAAGATGCATTGACTTCAGATATTAAAAGGGCCTCGTGGGATTGCTTGTAGTTGAGCCACTCTGGTAGGGGTGGAGCAGAAGGCTGAACATGGTGGTGGCATTGCCAATGGCAACTACAGTGAAGTGGTGGAGGCGGTGGTGGACGTGAAGGTGGAGGTGGATTTGCCAAGAAATAAGTCTTCTTTTTCCTCTTCTTTCTTGTCCAGAACTTGAGCTTCTTCATGGCTTTCATCACCTTCATTTGGCTTCTTAAGTTGCTAGAGAGTATGGGGGATGTAAAATGCCCGAGTTTGCTACTTTGGATTTGTGTTGGGGAAGGCATTGGTAGTGGTATCTACCTTTTAAATTTAAATTTAATAACCCATCAATTTTTTCAAACTTTCTGACAGTTGCCATTTCAATTTTTGTCCCACCTGGTCGAGTTTAGTGCTTTTTCACTGCCGATTAGGCCTGATTGAAAAATAAAAGATTGATATTATTGATTATTTGACTTAGCACTATTGGATATGCTTAAAAGCATTTTTTTTCAATACTTGGGCAGATTTTAATAAAATATTTGAAATATATTATCCATTACTCGACTCGATATCTCAAAAATATTTATTTATTTTTACATATGGCTCAAATAAGTACTTGGGATCAAGTGAACAGTACAAAATCCTTATCTAATTACAATTTTTTGTATAAGAAGCTGGTTGGAGTTGATTTTTTGCCTTAAAGATGGATTAAGTTTATGCATAATTGTTCTCCGTTTGGTAATCATTCTTTTAAAATTGTTTTTATTTCTCTCACTCATTTTTTCTATATATTTTCATAATAAAATATTTTTCATCTAAACTCAAAATTTTTCTATGTTTTACCTACACATTCGTTAAAAAATTACTATTAAAAAATTCATTCTTGTCGAAAAATTGTTGTCAAACGGGCGCCTATATTAAAAAAAGGGAGAAAGTATTTGGTGTCAGAACGCTGGAGTTTGGACCATCCAAAAAGCTAGAAAAATCATATTGGTGGCCTCTTAATTTCGAATTCACACACGGTCGCGGTGATTAAACCCTAGTTTCACGGTTGATATGACAAATACAGAAGTAATATTCCCAAAAATTGAAACGTAGGTAAATAAAGAAAATGATTCTCAGAACACCACCGGCAAGGAAGCGGAGGGCGGAATCACGGCCGCCGGAAGAGGATCATACCAACAGCCCAAGCTCCAACAGGCAGCAGCTGGTGATTTA